ATTCGGTATTTCGTAATGCTGTGCGATAATGCTTCCATTGTTATACTAATGCATTCGACTTTCGTGATTTTTTTTTTTACCAAATAACAATGAAATTCCATTAATGTTTTTAAAAACGGTCAGAACATTTTTCTACATTAACATTTACATAAAGTAAATTAACACAAGTTTTTTTTGTACCAATCCCTAGAATGCATCTCAGTTTTGCTTGATATAAATTTACTATGAGAAATCTACACTAATAATCTCCTTTAGTGACCAATAAACATCTCTGAATGGTACTATAGCAATGTTGCACTTAGCAACATTATGATAAACAATATGCTATGCTGTTTTTAATATATTTTAGCGGTTTCAAAGGAAAAGAAAGAGGGGTCTTAAATGACTTAGCACACAACTCCAGCTAATGGCGCAAGAGGAATCGAGCTCAGGTTGTCAAAAGAGACAAAAATCCTTTGTAATAAAGCACAGTTACGCCGCAGTGAAATGCACTCGTCCCGAGCGCCCGCCGCACCCCCTGCGTACTTCGCACCCCATGCGCCCGTTGCACCCCCCGCGCCCGACGCACCCGCCACGACACTCGCACCCTCCGCGACCAATGCCATGAAATAAGAGACTAATTTCAGTCGATTTAAAAGAAAGCTACTCGCTCTTAAATAAAAAGGTCTAGATCGGAAATGTCTAAGAAACTATTCGGATTGCAAATTCTTTCCTCGAACAGTTTAAACTACTTTATCAAAAGTACGATAAATTAGAAATTTTAAATTAAAAAATTAACACCTAGCTTACATTAGTATTAAATTTTCTGATTAAACTGCTTACTCTTTTTACTAAGTTTTACAAACGTTTTATGATCGACAAAAATTAGACGATCAAATTTCCCTAAGGAAAGAAACACGTGAGTCTTTCAAGTTAAAATTAAATTCCTAGCATTACTTAAACCTAAATGGTTTCTAAATAAAAACGTCTTGGAACGGTTCGATTTCAAAGAATGGAATCGGTTAATTAAACAGATCGCGGCGCGTGGCGTGGAGCGCGCGGCGCGGATTATCCCGCACCCGTCCCTTTTCTCCAACTCCTGCGCTAACAACTTTTTAATACGTCCTTTTTCTTTCAATCCATTAGAGCGATTATCATCATGAATTCTATAAACCTAAGAGGTTTTCTCCGAATTGAAATGATCAAAGGTTTTCCCGCACTTGATTGACCTTTGTGAACTTTCAGATTCTACGAAATTAAATGTTACTTTTTAATTACGAATGGTACGCTAAATTTAATCTGTTTACCTTATATACTTCTTTTTAACTACTAAATAAGCAGTTATTCTAAGTAAATGCGATGTCTTAAAAGTTTACGTTCACGTTTGATTAGATCATAACAAAAAAAATTGTGGAACAATGTATGTAAATCAGTGCGTTATCAAAATAAACTGTTAACGCTTTTCCTTATGACGTTAATCACTACGATGAATATCATAACCGTTACGACATTATTAAGGAAAATGTACAAAATGAAACGTTTTATATTAAGACAACATAAACCCGAAACAAATGTTTTTAAATTAGGTTGATATTGTTGTGGCATATTTTGCGTTATAACGGATCCCTTGTTTAACGTGTGCTGGTGATTAAGAAAAATTGATATTTAACTACGTTCCGTGGCCTTAATACAATATTATGCTTAATATGCTAAGAAATGATTAATGAAGATTTTGGATCTACCGGTAGTTCAAACATAAGTTTTTTTTTATCATGAAGTGGCAAACCAGCAAGCGGCCACCTAAATCCGCCAAAATAGAGAAGCGAACGCTGCCCATAGACATTCGCAATAGCGGATGCGTTGCCTACCGTTAAACGACGGAGGAGGAGACGCACATAAAGAGGATATCTCCTTCCAATACGTCTCCTCCACCGCCAAATCCACGTTACCTTTACTTCCTATTCTTATGAGAAAAAGGGTGGGAAGGAAAAGGGACTAAATTTAGGCCTCCGGCACCACACTCATCAGACGAAACGCGGAATTGCTCCCACTTCACGCCTGTCTTCTGTGTGGTCGTTGTATTTCACTGGACGAGCCGACCCATTCGTGCGAAGATGTTAAAGTAGGCTTTACCACTGTAAGTAATAAGTAGCGTTTATTCAGTTCTTTTTTTTTAAATTAATTTTTAATATCCCTGGCAAGGAAGCCAGAGCCATTAACAGTCTTTATTAAATTCATTTGCAATATTACATTTTTTATCATTTTACTTTTTATTTTTACAAATTTTATTGATACGAGCGAAGAGACGTTAAGATTAAATAAAATATTACTAAGACTACAGGTACAGTATTGAAATTATGGACATTATTAAAATTATAACGGGTAAGATGAAATATAAAATAAAATACTATTCAGATTTACAACAAAGAAAGACGTCACATAGTGTAATTAAGACAGTCTGCTGCATAAAAATTTATATATTTACGAAATCAAAAACTCGTATACATCTTCAAAAGTACCTATAGTGTATTGGTATGTAGCATGTATCTGTGTAAAACTGAAGGCACATGTATGTTTATGCTGACTCTATAATACATTTTATATCAAAAACCGACACAACTTGGAAATATTGCTTCTTCAACAAATCGAATTAAGAAATAAGAACAATCAACAAAAACAGTAAAGCCCTGCAATTTTCTGCACAAGTTTACAAAACACGAAGTTTTCACAACAAAGTCGTTTCGGTATACTTCGATAAAAATCTCCGTAAACACCAAAATCCGTACCATAAAGTAGCACTAAAGTTATGTAAGGCTCAAAATCTTGCGGAACTATAAAACATTTAAGCCTCGACCGTAACTTGAAGCAAGTTTCATGTAACCCGCTGAAACCTCCGCTATACTAATAAACTAACTGAAAATTTTAATATTGAAACAATGTTATAAACATACAAAGGCATGCAGACATGCCTCCAGGAAAACCTTTCAACATGCAACATCACTTACCTGTTACATTACTTTGACATTTATGTTATATGCCAATTATCCTACTCATATTAATGGGCGCACACCTTTTACTAAACTATCACACAACTGTTTTGTCGCTTACACTACTCGATTTTGAGTTGTGCAACTAACCATGTGCTGTGAAACAATCGACAATCGCACATCAGTTGTGCGATAATTTAGTCAAACTTGTGCGCCCGATCTAAACATTATTAATGCGAAAGTTTTTATAATTAGGTATTGTTAGAAGGTATCTCCTAAACGGCTGAGATTTCCGTGAATAGGCATAGATATAAAGCATAGTCTAGAAGAACAGATGGACTTCTTAAGAATTTTTAGTTTTTAAATCCGCGCGGACGAAGTCCCGAGTGACAGCTAGTGAAAATGATAATACAAAGCTTTTAATAACTTTGTTTTCATATCAAATCTTGTTTTGAATTACCTATCGAGCTTTACATCAATTTATTTACAAGTGCTTTACGAGACTATTTTTTTCTTTGGGTCGTTTATTTAATTTACACAACACAGTAATACAGTCTATGAAGATTACAAAAAATAAACAGAGTCGGTGACTAGTTATCCTTAGTTTATTGCCAAAAATAATCTCAAACTCAGTGACCAATTAACGACTCGAAGTGCGGGAGTTAGTCTTCTATTGCTTGTACTGCAAATGTAAACATTCCTTCTATTACTGAATTAAGTTAATATCTTGTATACTTACACCATTTTTAGAATACTTTGTATCAAAAGTAACGTTTTATTTAACAATGCATTACCTCTGAGGTCAGCCGGAATTTCAATCCAACCTAGGTCACGCAAACTCAAAACATTTGAAAACATTTTTAAAATTTCAGTTCCCAAGTATAATCCGCACTCTACGTAAAACATTTTTAACGTGCAAAAAACAGTGTTTAAAAACTATATTCTCTTTTATTATTTTTTAATTACAAATCTTATTTAAACGTTGCCATAAAAAATAAACCATGTTCCTAACATATAAATGAAAAAAAAATTGGTAAAATGTAGTAATTTTCTAACAAGCCTAGATATTGACTCAAAATATAAAAAATCCTTATATATTAACAAAAACGTAGCGAAATATGACATTAGTTAGGTAAAGATGTTTTTATCCAAGGTTGTGGTCACGAGGCAAACATTTGGCGCAATTTATCCAACTACATATACTCTGAGTTTCTGGGTATGTCCATTATAAGCTTGTAACCTTAAAGTACGGACTATCGTTGGTATGATTCATATATTATTCTTAGTATAGGTGTAGATTTAAACTCAGTACTATCGAAGAGAGAAAACGACAAATCCAACAGACGTATATTTAGTTATATTAATAAATAATAACAGTTTGATAACCATGACAGACATTAAACAAGACATTAAAAAAACTTAATACTTCTAGAATTTCGTAACCTAAATTTGACATACGAAGGCATACAATTCACGCCTTAAAAGGCATTGACACATTGTATTTAATGTTTGATATATTCAGATTTTTTAAGGGTAGCAAGTCATTTAGCCTGTTTCACTTAAAGATCTTGTGATTTAAAAATCTTAATCATACTAATATCATAATTCATACTAATATTATAAATGCGAAAGTTTAGATGGATGGATGTTTGTTAGAGTTTGTAGCCTAAACTGATGAACGGATTTTAAAAATTTAGCAAAGATGTAGAGAATAGTCTGGAAGAACACATGCTTGCTTTTGCTTTTTTAATTACACGCGGACGGAGTTTCGGGCGATAGCTAGTTGTTGTCATAAAGTACAAATACAAATTAAAAATATGCGTATATCCTCGTATCATGCATCCGATATGGTATCTTTTAAATATGAAGTATGCTATAACATAAAATTCATGTTACAAATGTAATTGACGTAACTATTGCATAATTATTTTCAACTGCTATTCGTCTCGTATTTATCTTATACTTACATAGATTTTAATGAATTTCTGTAGTAAAAATATATCTATTTTTTAAAGTGATGAAGAACCTACTTACCCACATAGTGTCACTTCTAAAGATCACGTTCTCAATAATTTACATATTTTTAATACACTTTCAAACGTTAAAATGTGTACATAATTAAATTAAAATGAAAACTAAAATCATTTTAAAAAATATCAGTCCATTTTCGTTTATCGTAACGCGATACGTCGATCGTATTTCGTATACGATAGTTGGGATCGCGGTAAGGTCGCACGTCTATCTCCGTCGACGGCTACCTATCGACTGACAGTAGAGGACTCCCACAACATGTTTCGGAGCCTCTGCCAAGCTGCAGTGATAACGGCGCCTGCGTAATGCAACTTTCCTCTCGTTACTTCCCTTAACAAATATAACTCGCGCCTCTTTCAACCGATTCTGACATTTATTAGCAAGGTCTGACAGTAAAACCGTCAGAAGGCTAGTGATGGCTTGTGATTACATGTTGAAATCGTTTAAAGTTTGAAAGCACATGTTGACAAGTTAACTAAGTTCGAAAGCCGAATTTCCTTGGCTTTTTAATTAGGTGGATTGATGGAACAAGTTTTGAAAGAGTTTGTCAGTCTGTGTATAACTTGTTTTTAACGATGTTCTCTAAAGATCATACCAAACGATTCAATATATTTTTAGAGGTTATCTACCAATTAGTTTATGTGACCCTTTTTCATGTATTTCCTAAGTTGTTGCTACACTGTAAAACAGATTAACGCTTTAGTCCTAAGTTATGTCATATGCACAAAAACCAAGTACCGTATTATAAGTAATTATTTACGTATTATTATAAGTAATTACGTAGTATTATAAGTAATTATTTTACGGCTATTACTCATGTCTATTACTGTTTTATTTATTTTATCTTATTTTATTTTATTTTATTTATTTACGGATAACTTACAGCTAGCTTAAAAAACAATAATAAAATAAACAAAAAATGAAGGCCAATTACAAGTTATCGCAGATAGTCACAAGTCTGTTACGTCTATTTTTCCGGTGGTGGTCCCTACTAGTTTCGGACCCTTCAGGGGTCCTTCTTCAGGATTTCTTCTTCTCACAGAGGTGCGACGCAACCGTAACACTCGCTCTGAAGAAAACCCTGAAAGGTCCGAAACTAATCGGGGCCGCCACCGGAAAAATAGTAACAGCCGTAAAATAATTAGTTAGGCTTATGATTGTCTAATATACTTAAGGATTACGTTATTTGAAATGATATTAAGAAACGAATCAACATTCCAAGCCCCTTTATTATCACGAAGTCAATATTATGCAAGGCCATTGAAAGAGCTCGTCGTCCCCTTGTCGTGTATCTGTGAACGCAAACTCCCAGTGGTTATAAGATATCACCCCGTTCCATTCACCCTTACAGTTGATACCTCATAAATTATACTTAAATGCTTTGAAACGGTTTACATTATTGAATTCATTTAATTCCTTCGAAAAGGGTAACATTTAATGAAATGTTTAGTTAAATTTTTATATGGTAAAATTATGTAAACGAGAAGAAAGCGTTGTGTACAAGCGAAAAGTTTGTCTTTATTTTACTTCTTTACGTAAAATGATGGTGATTGTATATCAAAGGTCTCTTGATTAATAAATTAAAGGAAATAAAAGGAAAAGGATAGTAAAATTAAAAGGGAACAATATAAAAATGCAGAACTCGACTCGGCAATATAAATAAACTGTTTCCATTTGTAAGACGAAGACCTTCTTAAAGGACGGAATGTAATTCTTTAATTATAAAATGCAAATTCAGTGAAATCTGTGATAGCTATCGATGCGGCCCGGGGGACGTTTATGGGGTGGAAAGTTGATAGAGTACTAAACAGTTCTCCGGGAAATGGCGAAGCGTTTGGCCCACGCACTTTTATACGGGTGCTTTGACTTAACTTCTGATTAATGTCACTTGTGTAATTTCAAATTAAAGAATTCTTCTAAATGTTGTCTGGCAATTTATTTTTAAAACGCTCATTAAAAAGGACTCTACTAAAAATGAGTAAGATCACGAATTGAATAACATCTCAGTATTCTAAATCGAATAAATACACTACAGCAGGTCAATTTAAAAAGAAATGAACATACATTTTCAAATGCGTAAAACAATATGAAAAGCGGCATCCTATTATTCTGTCGAAACACAAAGCTAATACAAAAAGTTTCGTGTTTTTAGATATAATGCTATATCGAAGGGTAATAGTACAAAAGTTTTTATTTAATATAGCAAACATTACATGTGACATCAACTGTTATTTAAATATGTTACTACATTGGATGAGCCTCGGATTTACTTGTATTCCTAAGACGACAAACTTATGCGTGTTGGTGAAGCAATAAGGGAGCAGCCGACGCCATTCAAAGCAATTGCTTTCTGATATTTGATGTGCGGATTCCCCGATACATTATTCTCATCATATAATGAAATAAAAAAAGTCACGCGATTCCGCATACGTATCATCATTCTAATATTAAAAATGCGATTTGGATTGATCATTGTTTGTTACTACGTGTCTACAAGACGTCTCATCAGGTATCGATGGAATTCGATAATTTTAGTCTATTTCCTTTCCCACCATTTTCTCACACGAAGAGGATGGGAAGGGAAAGTGTATATGACGGTGGAGGAGATGCATAAGAAGAGGCAATATACTCTTTATATGCGTCTCCTTTTCCGTTGATTAACGGTTTTCATTCGTATAAAAAATACAGACTTGGAACATAATCTGGAAGAACATATAGGTTACTTACTATTTTTTTAAATTCGGTAGCAGTTGCGGACATAAGTTAAATACATAAATGTACCTAACCTAACCTAAATCCACTAATTTAAATAAAAAAACTATTCATTAAAACCAAAACATTCTTCAAATTTCCATTTAAGCGTTCAATCTTGTCTAATATCGATTATTTTATTTTTTATTTTTTTAATAAAAAGGTAGCTTCATTTGTTTTCCTTTATTCTAATGTAACGATATTCAAAATACGTAGGAAATACAAGAGCTCGTGTAGAGTATTTTTTGCACTGCGCTAAATAATAAATCTTAACAGAGGAGGGTTCGATGAGGGGACCCGAATGTAAATCCAATTTTCTTTCCCCTGATTTTTATTACATTTCATGATTAAATTGTATCATTTATACGTCGCCATGTTACACGGAATGTGTTTCAATAACGTTATACATTTTTTTTATAAAAGTTCCACACATAATATAGAACTGTAGACCAGATATTTTGCAAATCAATTTTATAATCCTTAGTCACATTTTATACAAAATTTTGAAAAAATGAATATTTTTAAAATTGGTTTATAAGTTTAAAAACGCTGTAAAGCTATAACCAAGTTATCAGTTTCATGTTTTAGTAACTTTTAAAGCATAGGCCTTGGTATGACTATAGAATTTTTATTTAATTTTGACAAAACATATCAGGCGCTTTTGATGCTAACTTTGTAGATACAACAATCTAATCATTTCTTCTGTATTTTCTACGTAAAATAGTAATAACTTCAACCACTTTAATAATTCAACCTCAATTCCACGCGCACTTACCATATTTGAAACGCTTATTTTCCGGTCTCCTTGTGCTTGTTGAAAAAAACTAATTCGAACATAATGCCCGCCGCCTTTTAAATATTAAACTTTTCTTCAATACAACAATTATTACATGCAGTACTTCAATGTTCTAGAGATTTTATTTAAAATTTAAAATTAACAATAACTAAATTGTTTCTCTTTCTTTCCTTAGATTTAAATTGGTTCAAATGCTTTTATCATTTCTAACGCTTGTGTTCTGCAAATTAAGTAGAACATTAAAAAAAAAGATTTGTCAAACTTTACACTTAACTCTCATGTTGTAAAAAAAAGTATATGATTTCTTTTTTTTATTATTTTACAAATAAATTCTGCAAATTCATATTGACGAGCTACTTCCTATTAAGATAAATAGATATTTAATATTTTTTCGTAGAAGTTTCGATACTCAAACGTTTATTACATTTTGGACAGTAACCCATTAAACCATTTCTACAAATTGTACAAAAAAAAATCAAAATACATAACACAAGTATATTTGTATGTTCGTGTAGGCAACTAGGGGGCAGTTACACTGAATAATTCCGATATAAAAGGCAAAGCCGACGACCGTTGTCGGTATTTCAATGCATTGCTTTTGAATAAAAAATCCTAATGGCGCTTACAATGTACCAAGCTGTACATAATAGCCTAGTATGTGCTATTTAAATTTTTATTGTAGTAAATATACAGGTTTTGTATAGTTCGGTCAACGTTGTATAACAGTATATTTTGATTCATCTAAAACTGCCGTTTGTCTTCAAAACGCCTGCAGTTTTCTGGATAATCTATACTATTATTATAAAGCGTAAACACACACTTCTTTGTTGCCTAAGATGTCAGCAATTACAGCGTATTTTTATTAATTCTTTTTTTAGTAAAAATACCTTCACCTGAGTCACGCTTTAGGCTATATATTTTAACGCCATTAAACTTAGGGGTAATTATTTTGGATAAAAACTCTAATGTGGGAAAGAGACCATAAGTTGCTGCCAACATCAAGGCAGCAAAGTTTGTCATCATGTCATTTTGAAATTTGTAATTAATAAATTGAAAAATTTTTATAACAATATAAAATTTTCATAATTTCATGCAGATGAAGCCGCATGGGAACAGCTATTTTTTATAAAAATTTAAAACACTGAAAAAACACGTAGCTAGCCTACCTATTGTTGATATAGAATAGTGATTGTGGAGAGGATATACGTGTTGTTAATGAATTATTTAGTTTAAAAATATGTGGTGCTGTAAAAAACAGAAACAGATATTCTGTAGACAAACTATCCTTCGTAAATATTTGAAATTACTTTAAAGGACACAATTATTTTAAATGCATTCTTATTATACAGGAATGTAAGCTTGTGTTATTACTAAACAGGAATTAACATTTAGTAGTTGAATTTTAAATTTTTAGTAGTTGTGTCTTCCAATATTGGAACATCTGTACAAAGTATATTGCTATTTCAGTTTTTTCAAAGGGAGTAAGAGGAAAGAGAGTACGTTTGTGTTAATGTTTTGACAATGGAACTCAAACTAAAGTTGACTTGTTCATTTACATTCAGAGTGGCGACATTGGATACGATCGGCAAACGTTTAAGCTCCCACGTGCAACGCCATTGTACTGAACAAACATTCGAATTCTAATACTAAAGTGTTGTAGATA